CTCTCTCTCTCTCTCTCTCTCTCTCTCTCTCTCTCTCTCTCTCTCTCTCTCTCTCCTCTCTCTCACACACGCATACACACACACACAGAAAGGGCGGGTAACTATTCTAAAAAGCGAGACGTGATATGTTGATCCCTCGGTTTATAGTTCGATTTTATCGTCCACGGACTTGCTGCACCGGTTTTGTGGCGTTTCGTATTGTATTTTTAGTGCGGTGTATTTTTACGCGTGTATGGAGCAAAGATCCCAATTTTATCGCGCGTCGTATAAATAATTGGCACGCGAGTAACAAGCTGGTTTTCTTCCTTATTCGTTTTTTTTTCTTTCTTGTTTTACTGAAGTATTTCGAAGCAGGATTTCTCTCTCTCTCTCTCTCTCTCTCTCTCTCTCTCTCTCTCTCTCTCTCTTTATATATGTGTGTGTATTTCGCGCATTGATAATAAGGTCGCTTCTCACGGCAAATGGCGTCCGTTTTCAAGTAGATTTGCACGGACGATTCGTTCGGCACTCGCGCCGTGATTAGCCGTTAGCTTGCGGTGTCGGTGCATTACAACGAGAGAAACGTAGCGGTTTAAGGGAATTACACGTCTAGACCCCTGGGGCAAAGTTGCGCGACGGAACGGTAAACGTTTATACAGTGACGGACGACAGCGAAAACGGTCAGAATGTTATCGACGCGCACGCGGAAAATCGATTTCTCCCGCGGGGAGTTTCTCGCTGGCGTGCACGTGAAATACGGGAGAATGGCCCAAGACGGAAACTCCGAAAGCCGATAATTAGATGGATATCGTGTGTATGCGGAGACAACGCGCGAGCGCGCATACACACGCGCGCGCACATGCGATCAGGCGGCATGCGGGAATCTGAATGCAGACGTGTTGGGGATAGCAGCTTGAAACCCGGAAATGTAATTTCCACACACTCCCCACGACAGACGACGAGGCCTTGCCTCATCTCAAAGCGGGATATTGCGGGACGGGCGGCGAATATTTTTTTTTCCGCCCGCCCCGTGATTGTGTCTATCGATTTTCAATTATCCTACACGGGATACAAGGTGAGCGGATCCGACGTAATCGCCAACAAAAGCTGGCGATCCGAAACGGAAATGTTTTCGCGTTAATGTAAATCCCACTGGTAGATTCCGAAGTATCCTGCTGTGATTTTATCGCCGCTTTGTTGTAAATTCACTGAAGCGCGAAGAGGCGAAGTATTATCGGACTCGGTCGGGGATTCGCGAAATTAAGATTAAGGTGGTTGTATCATGAAACGAGTTTCGCGAGAATTTCATGAAACTTGCAGCACGTATACATAGTGCAGTGTTAACTAACACTGCTCGTGCAATTAGAGAAAGATTGATCATACGAAAGCTGAGAGATGTTTGCAACTAGATTTGACACTGTTGATACATGTTTCTTGAAACTAGTGTGTTGTTACAGATAATATTATCTAAATTACACGTGAAATTTCAAGAAGCTTTTATGATGCGGCGATTGTTATGCAAGAATAATCCAAAATTATTTTCAATAATTTTTACATTTATATGTATATATAATGTAATGAGTAGCTTTTTTACATAAAACAAAATATCCGACTTTTATGGGCACATGAACTTAATTAGGAAATGATTTTTGTTTCCTACTAATTGGATTTTTTACCCATTTTTAAGCTTGTCAATGAATATTTCTGAAGAGGAGAAAACTGGCTGTGCTCGATTTCTTGAATAATTGAGAAGAATCTCAATGCTATCTGTATTAAATTATGTATCAAATTCCTATCTGCATTTTTTTCGAAACTGTGCGAGTTGGATTATTTTTCCATAACTACGACCACGTTAAAAGGATGCTGGAGTTGATGATGAACTCGAACAATGTCGATAATGCAGAGACGATCGTCACTAACATAATCACGCTATTCTTTTCGTATTTCTTGTATATGCAAAACTTACATGAATGTGTGTTGCTTTGTTTTACCATATTTCACGGAAACCATATATATGTAGAAATCTTTTGGCAAACTTCTTCGATATTCTTAAGCTTCCAAATGTAGATGCGAACAATGTAGAGCAATGTTCTTCAAAATTTTTCTGTTTAGAACACCCACACTTTCGGTATGTATAAGCTGCGAAACATTTGAATTAGGCAAATATTACGTTGATAGCTTGAGATTTTACGCTAAAAATGTTTTCATCACATATCGAGCAATATCCTATTTATTTTTGCACGTTCTTTCATTGTAAAAACATTTGTAATTCTATGTAATACGACCAATAATACCAATACGACGTAAACTTTGTAGAAAAATGTCAGTGTTCTGTCGGTAAAGTTTTCAGCTTCAGTATCCTCTTAAGCGAGTCGATGTTAATGAGGAGTGCAATAGACACGACAAGCACCGGCTGTGTGTATCGAAAATCAAAGGAATTGCTAATAACGTATTCCCGATACATTCCGATGATCATACATCGCTATTTCGGCACTTCCGATACTTATTTCCGCGCCCGACTTACTTTCAATAGATAAAAGATGCGTAGAACGCGGAGCGATGTCGATCGCGATATGTCAGTGAAGGCTGTTCGTCACGAAAAGATCCCGCTCTATGTGAGTGTATGAAGTTGGCATTCCACTTTTTGAAATTTATAATTTTGAAAGTTGTTCCAGATTGTTCTGACTTTGTACCACATTGTTCCAACGTGATATTGCTTCATTCGAAACGGTTTTCGAATAAAACAAAAAAAAATGGTTTTTTGAACTGGCACCCCACTTTTCGAAAATCGAACATTCTGATACCGCAATAGATTGTTCTAGTTGTTCCAAACATTGTTCCAAAAGGACAAATCCGTAAGTTGAATTATAAGTCCAAAAAATGAAAAAAATGTTTTTGACCTGGCACCCCATTTTTTGAAAATAAAGCATTCCGATACCGATATAGATTGTTCTAGTTGTTCCAAACATTGTTCCAAAAGCACAAATCAATAAGTTTAATTATAAGCCCGAAAAATTAAAAAAAAGTTTTTTGACAAACAGTCTATCGGACCAAGAGTAAACTTATACTATCTTTCTTGTTCCAACCGAGATCTTTTTGTTCTGAGTTGTTCTAGGCTTAAGAATTATAGTTCTAGAGTATGAGACTCATAAGATCATTCGTTCTCCGAAAATTCGTAAAAAAATCGATTTGACAGTACTCGACGTCAAGAGTAAACACATGCTTCCTTTCTTGTTCCAACCGAGATCTTTTTGTTCTGAGTTGTGCTAGGCTTAAACGACGAAGTAATTTTACTTTATTTTGTCATGACATTTTGTAATTATTTCCGCCAATTTTCCTATAATAAAGATTAATTTTTGTAAGAAATCATCTTTTTCTTGAATTTTTGTCACCTCAGAAATATATTTCAATCATCCTTATTTTCAATCATCCAAATAATTATACTTTTTTAAATCAGTATATAGAACTTTTTAGAAAGTTTATGATTTTTATAGTCATACTCGAAAAATATATATACACAGATTTAAAAACTTTTGATATGTGTATCTGTGTATCTCTATTAGATGAGTTAATGCATAAATAAAATACTCATCAGAAAAATGAAAGATTATATTTTTCTCATATTTACATTAAGATGTACATTTATTTCAATTTATTTCAAATTAACAGTAATATTTATTGAAAATGGATGTATAGAAATGTAATTTTATTTAATAAATAATAAAGTTGTTGGAGTGGAATTTTATTCAAAATGAGGGAAAAGTGGTAACATTTTCACTCGAACTAATAATGAAAATACTGCCGCTTGAAGTCGCAAAAGTGAATGTTTCAATCAATTCGAGTAAATATGTTACTACAATGATGAAGTACATCAAATTCACTCTTCAATTTCGAATTAATATATTTACTCGATGGCTCGGAGTATAGAATTCGCTCAGTATGTGCGAAAAATCACTCGAATTCGTGACACTCAGTAATCACTCTACTGTTCGAGTGAAATCAAATCACACTCCGAGAAATTTAGAGGATATGAGTGGTCCCATTAATATACGCGTCACTGAAAATACCGTACCTAGGAATACAACTGTTTTAAGTACTTTAAAAGCATCATTAGTTCAGAGTGTTAATCAATGAATATTTATTTTGAAAACAATAATACAGTATATCAATTTCATTGCTGATATTTGTGTGCTTTTACAAAGAAAACGAAAATTCTTGTTTTGACAATATCTTTATTTTTGACATATCAATCTTCAGATGAGGTTACGTAGCGTTAAATGAAGATAGATTTGCAAAAATATATTTTATATGAATTAACAAAGTGAAACTTGTGTTGTTATTGTTCAAAAATAATTTTCATTAATGGAAAACACAAAATGTTGGATTGAGAATATGATGTTCTTAAATGTCGGAAGAAAATATCTTTAAAATAATCATATTATATTTCTTATAAAATTATTATGATATCCAAATAAAAGTATAACACTATTGAAATTAAAAACTTTAAAATTCTTCGAACAAAATTATGTATTATTGCTTATATATGAAACAATGATTGTTAATTTGAATATATTAATTTTAAGTAGATAGAGGAATTTGGGTTTTTAACACATATTTGAAAACATATTTTCAATCCAATATTTTTCTGTGCTTTTTATTAAAATAATTATTATTTTTGAATAATAAGAATTTCTATGAAAATAATAATAAGAATAAAAAGATTTCTGTGAAAAAATAAGAATTTTTGAGTAATAAATTTTTCTTCGTTGAATCATATAAAATGTATTCTCACAAGTAACTTACTTTTGTTTAACGCTATATGGTCTCATTTGAGCGTTAACGTGTAAAAATAAAGACATTTTCCAAGCAAGAATGTCCTTTTTTTGGGCATAATTTCACAAGTAATACAACTATGCAAAACTGTGCGTATTGTTCACAATAGGCTAAGTGAACAGTCGTTATGTCGGTGACACTTTGACCTCTTCTTTTCTCATTACATCTGTGGCCGGTGTAATTGCGTGTTGTCGCAATTAAAATTACTGCTTACCTCATTAAAATGCACTCGCGTGACACGGTTAAATTGCGCTTAGTGTAATCAAGCTCGAACGGTGTCGTGTAACGCGAGCCCTTGCACACAATTAGCCGATTGAAAATGGAATCCTAGGAATCCCCGACAATGTGTGGATATCACCGACGGCAGTGTCAGATAGCCAATGACTTCCGAGGAACGCGAAACTCGAACGTTCCTGCAGGATGTCGCTGTAACAGCTGTAAACAACTCTATACATGCTCCGCGCTATATCGAAGTGAGCGAGAGATTTTTTCTTTTTTTCCTTTTTTTTAATATAAAACTCGATACTCCGTTTACCTTGCGCGTCCGTTTGCGATCTCGCTTCTTCCGCCTCGCTTGTCGCGGCATCGAACTGTCGCGTTTCCTCCGGCAACGTCAAAAATACCTTGCCACGGAAGTTGGAACACCAGTGGAACAAGTTGGTTTTTATTGTGCTTTTTACCAAAGCGTATCGTGACTCTTTGTCGTCTTCGCCGTTCCGGCACTCACTATTCGCTCGTAACATATAACCTGCAACATGATGCTAACAGCGAGAGTTGGGAAAAAAAGGATTTATATCTTCTCATTCGTATTTCCGTTGGAGAACCGCCATTCACCTCATCGATTTGTTCTCGCGCTGCAAATATTGACGGTCCTCTCGAATTGCGTACGGAAATTAACCTCCGGACGATATTAGTTCTGTCTTTATCCGCAAGCTTTCTGTCAAGAAGAAAGAGAGAGGAAAAGGAAAAGAGCAGAAATAATTTCATTTGAACTCGAACTCGCCGGTGGAAAGGGTCGAAACCGCGAAATTAAGTCTTTATTTTGCGCGCAAAAGCGCGGTTCGGTTGAAGTTGTCGTCGTTTGCCCACCGTGGTCGCTGTGACCACCCTTTTTTCAGCAGGACGTGTATATCCTTCAATTGCAATAACCGCGGCAAAGGCCGCCGTAATTTTGAGCCTCGACTTCAAAGCGCCATTGAGCTGAATTGTTTTGCTGGTGCATTTCTGCTTGACTCTCCGTTATTATATTAATCTCTGCCGTTGCGGATTTATGTCCTCTTATTCTTCAGTCGTTTGTATAATTAACCTGTGTACTATATTTCCAGGGCATTCGCGTAATCATGGAAAATTAAATTCTTGAAACGTCCATTCTTCTTACTGGATATTCTTTTACATTTTCTTATTGAATATATTTTTCAACAAACGTTTCACAACGCGCGTTGTGCGATTCGAAACGTAGACATGGACTTTTTATGTATGTAGAAAGGGATTCGAAAGATTCTTTTTCGCGTTTCATTTAAAATAAAAGTACCAATGTTTGGACATTATCGTTGCTTTGGTCCTTAACTCTGATCTAGCACACTGGTATCATTTTCCACTCAATTTTTAATTTTGAATTTTGAACACGTATAAACTAGTAGAATAAAGATTTTCGGTTTGCACATTAAAAATATGAGAACAAAAAAGAAAAATGTAAAAACATGGAAATATGATATTTAAACATTGTTAAATAATTTTCATATAACTTTCATATAACAAAAAAGCAAACCTAGAGATAATTTTTTACTCCAATATATCAAATTAAAATAAAGATGTAAAATAAAGATAATTTGTTTTCTGTCTTTACACTTTTTACAATCTAATATATAAGAAAGTTTTATGTAAGTTATTTATTTTTAATTTGAATAATTTGTGAGCTCTTTCCCCATTACTTGGAATAACGAAGCTAGTTTAAGAAGTGAGAAGTTGTAAATTATGTATGTAAATTATATAATAGGAGTATGAATATTTTTGTTATGTATATCTATTAAGTATATTTAACAATATTTTAGTATAAATAAGTTGAAGGAAAATTCATTATAAAACTTTAAACGCGTTATTCTCGAAATAACATTTTTTAAACTGTATTTACGATAACTCGAGAACGATTTATTTAATTAATTTAATGCTTGACATAAATATTTATCACGATTGTCTCTATCAGTTTACAGAAGCTTTTCGCAAATTTCAAAAACTGTTTTTCATTATTTACTTTACAAGCTTGAGTTTTTTAGTCGAAATATTAAATTTGATTTTTTATAACTCTCATTATGCGCAATGTTATTTTTTTTTTTAATTCGCTCTGTGAACCGTAACTACAACTCTAATGAATACAAAAATGTATTGATACTTGATTTCAAATCACTTTTGTTGTGGCCAGAATGATTTTACAATTGAAACATGATTCTCTTGCAGAATAAAATCGGAATGATGTTACCATTTACCATAAAATATAATTTTTTATACTAAAATATTCTTAATAGACACAGAAACTTCATGTTCTTTTTAATTTACAACTTTTTACAACTCCCGAAATTTGTACTCCTGTCAGGATTCTGTAACTCCTTAAGTACATATCCAGACATTGATACTTTTACCTTACAGTTCACGGACGTAACAGTTCGACACTCCGCAAATGCGAAAAGCCTCATTTCCGCAATGTACAATAGTCGATTGAATAATCAGTTTTCACTTTATTTATTTTTTTTTTCAATTACAATTGACCATCATCGTAAAGTGAGCGGATCTTCTGAATGACGTGTTAGCACTCACTGTTGCAGACGGTGGTCGAGGTCTGTCAGAAGAAGCGGCAGTGCAAGTTCAACACCAGCCCGAATACCTTCCAGGGCGACCCTTGCCCTGGGCTACGGAAATACATCGAGGTTGCCTACAAATGCCGTCCCTGTAAGTACTCTTATCTATGTACGTAAACACACACACACACATACACAACATATATCCGCGCGAATGCATACGCGAACGTGCGCGAGCAGACGCGAGATCGAACTTCCTCCTCGAGGAGATCGTTTTTCTTTGAGACATCCGATCCCTTTCTATGCGGACATCGAGCATTAGTTCAGAGTTCGTCGCTTGCATAAGAACCGCCTATATCGATGAGATTCCCCAGCGCGACATGCGCGACGGATTGACGAGAAACTCGCGAGAATTTCTCTCAGACGTGATCCAACGAACTCTCTGGCTGATTTTGAGAGCTGCGCACGGGCCGGGATATTTATAGCGAGTGAAAACGTAATCGTGCTGGGATGAATTCAAATGAAATCGACGTTCCAGACTGTATTAGTACGATTTCAGTTGGATCAGATCTTTTCAAGAATTTGGATCGTTTCTCACGTGAGAAATAACATAATAGTTACATGTAAAGGCTTCAGGGTTGTCATATATGATGTAACATAACTGCATATGCATAGCATAAAATCATATGGAACAATGAGCATCGAATATTAAGCACTGAGCATCAACATGGCGACGTAATATTCGATGCTCATTGGTCCACACGATTTTATGCTATGCATATGCAGCTATGTTATTGCATGTGCGATGACACATCGTAAATTTAATGTATGCCGCGAGTTGAACGCGTTTTAGTTCGAATTTTAATGCGAATCTCTGAGCGATTAATCTTGCGATTAAGAATTCACGGCTTAAATTAAAGCAAAGTGTAAAAATTTGATTTCAGACAAGATAACAATAATTCGTTAGTTTCTGAATTTGTTTCGAAATTTGGCAGTTTGGACCCTTGCTTCCTAAATTTTTGGAATGAAATTTTGCTAAAAAATCGAGTGACAGTTGAATAACTTGAATTGGAGTGACTTCTCATTCTTATCGAGTGAATTATTTCACTCTGTATCATAGAGTGAATTATTTTACTTTGCATTACAGAGTGAATTCTTCACTCTGTATCGTGAAATTTAAGGAGAAATGTAGTTGACTCAAAATCAAGAGTTCCAATGATTTCGATTAAGTGATAAACGTATTTAAAATGGTAAACATTTTAAGTAATAAAGGTTTTATGTGATAAACGTATTTTTTTAAATACAATCGGAATAAAAGATAAAAAAATGGCACATAATCGAAAAGATTTCATTCAAAATCATAGACAATGCCTTATGGAGCAATGCAATAAAAAAGAATACTTATTTTATGTATTAGAGAATGTTCTCAAAGGATGAGTGAAGCATTTGCTTCAATCGAGCAACGTTCATTCGTACAGAATAAGAATATACTTTAGTCGGAGTGATACATTCATTCTTGCTAAAAGTGAGGTGTCATTCCATTCGGAGTGACAATATTTTCACTATTGCTTGGAATAAAAACTTCTACTCGTTCAGATTGAGAATTTACTCCAAGAAATTTAATCAGTACCGAATATAGTTGACTCAAGATCAAGAGTCCTGAATTCAATCCTGGTTAAGTAATAACCGTATTTTTCAAATATAATCCGACTAAAAGACTCGGCACATAACCAAGATACCATCAAAGATTTGTCTCAAAGAGCAATTCAGCAGAAAAGCATATTTATTTTACGTGTTAGAGAATGTTTCAATCGATAAGAGTGAAGCATTCACTTCAATCGAGTGCAGCGTTTACTTGTATAGAATAAGAATGCACTTTAATTGGAGTGAAACATTCTCTTTTGCGGAAAGTAAGATGTCACTTCATTCGGATTGGCGGTATTTTCACCGTGAATTTTCATTCCCTCAAACTCACTCCGAGAAATTCAGAGAATGAGATGAAGGTAGATTTTGAAGCTTTTTATGCGTAACGCGCGTGCCTCGTACTTAGATATTTCAGCCTTGTCTGGAATTACACAGAAGGAGGCTGCAGATACTGAGTCGAGAATTATGCGGGAAGACAAGCGGTGCTAAGGATGCCATCGTATTTGTTACGCTATACACTTAGCAGAGCAGGTAACGCAAAACCCCGCGACGCCGTGCGTCTCTCTATACGCGCGCCGTCGCATAGAGCAATGACGACAACCTGTTGCGGTAACAAGGCTCAAGTAATTTTTGCTTGGAAACAGTAACGTAGCCGCATTTTACATTCTCGAGACCCGCGATAGCTCCTGCAGTACGAGGCGCTGCGCCGCCCTCGCTCCCTCCTCCCGCGCAAACCACAGTCATCTCATTGTTTACCGCATACACACACACGGTAAATCCAGGCGGCTTTTTCGAGGGCGCCGCCGGCGTTAAATCACTCTCCTGAACAAAGGTGTGTCACAGTTTTGCCGGCTGAAAAAGACTACAATTCAGGCGCAAGAAATACGGCTTGGTAACCGGTTCGTTTTAGCGCGATAGCGTAAAAGTTTCGGGCGCGGCACGGGAATGTTGAGCAGCAGACTGCTCCAATCTGCATTTTTTCTACTGTTTTATTTTTTTCTTCTTTCGTTTTTCTTTTCCCATCTGATCACACGCGGGACACTCGGATGTGGATCAGTATATATCATGAGATTTATCTGTAACCGTGTTTGAACGAAACGCCCGTTTATTTTTATTTTTTTTTTTTTAATATAGAGCTCGCTTGTTTATACGCTCCGTGTCACAGATCCGCCGCGTTACATGTTATTAAAAATATTAGCTATTTTTTTCTCTACGGCAGCTGCACAAAGGTAAATCTGATAACGTATTGCTGGAACCTATAAATACATTATTTTCCAAATTCTGTCTCCGTTTAACTATGTATCGTTGACAAGGCTCGAACAAGATTAAAATACGTGTTTCAATTTACGAGAAGTATAACATTTCATGTGAGCTTCGTCGTAAGCATGAGGACGTTTCTCTTTTCAGATTTATTTTTTTGTTCCAAACACGTTGTTAAAATTATAAACTCGAAACTGCCACGTTCTATGGTAGATCAATTTTCGAAATGACACGTACAGCATTTTTCACGGCCGATAGTTATCGGATTTTTATCGACGTACATGTACATCAATTGCAAATTGATGACTGACCATGCTTGATATCTGGACATGTCAATTGTTTACGTTACTTTAAATCTAGACATTAAAGACGCATGAATTATTTCATAAAATTCATGCAATCTGCGTTCCACTTTTTAGAAATATTTGCACAAATGGAGAACAATGCTGCTCCTAAATCCTTTTAAACGAGAAAAATAGAGAAAAGACTACAATAACGCGCGCTTGCATTATGGTAGCTGGTGACAAAAGCAATTTTTTCAGGTAAATTTAGCTTTCACGATAAAATAATATAATAATAAAATAATATGTTTTTTTCATTAGATGAGGCAATTATTTGCTATGATAATATTTTTAATAAATTCACATAATTTCACTTCCTATATAAAATGCAATATTTTTTATATTATCTATTTAATGATTTATATTGTGAAAACATAGAGCAATTTTAATTTTGAAAGATTTAAGGAGGGATCCTTAGTTTTAGATAAACAAAAAGTGAACCATTTTTTATGATTTTTTAAAAGAAATGAATAAAGATATTAATATAAGGTTTTAACTATACTATTTATTACTTTAAAGTATAAAAATTGCTTTTAAAAATGTTTTAAGTATAAAAATTGCTTTTAAAAATTGCGTTTAAAAAATTGAAATTCTCTTCAAATTCTTTGTGCTGAGCGCAGCGTCGCCGGACTCCCCTAATTGGCGGATAACATTACAACTGTGTAATATTTTGTTATTTTACAATAATCATAATTTTTAATAATACTGATTGTAATTTTCTGTGAAATATTCTGGAACATACGGGGAAAAACATTTAAAAAATGCTTTTCATTTACTGAAGGATAAATCCAAATTCTTTGAAAATTTTCCAACAGTTATATTTTTCCTAGGACACTAAAAAAAAGAGAAGGAAATTGACTTGTAATTTCAAAGTGCCGCCTTTTTGTTAGGTTTTGACTTTCTGCAGTATAATAAAGATTCATCCTTCAGCAAAATTAATAGTTTTTGTTTTCTTATCCCATTTGTTTCAGATTATTATATAAGTTGTAATATTGTTCACCAGTTAGACGTCTGACAATATCGCGTTCGGCACAAAAAGCTGAAAGACAAACTTTCAATTTTTTTAAATAAATGTATAATTTTTTATACATGAAACAATGTGATAAACAGTACGGTTGAAACTCTACATCAATATCTTTATTCATTTCTTTAAAAAAAAATTCATAAAAATCTATTTCTATCTATTTCTATTTTAATCTATTCTTTTGACTATCTAATCAGAACTTCCTAAACAAATATATAACATAATTGTGTTGGTTCTCTTTTATTGGTCTTTTATCTATGTTTGTGTACCTGAGAGGCCTAATAATTGATTCAGTATTTCTTCTGTAACACAATTGTTTTACTTGTAACTTACATTTAAAAAAAAGGCACAAATTGACACGACTGAACACACCGTAAGTTTATCATCGACAGAAAGCAATCTCGAAAGTGCCGCTGAATTTGTATTAGTAGATTGTTAGAAATACGACGGCAACTGCGAAACAATTTTTTGCTTAACAAGCCTCGCAATCAGTCCTCCGGATCGTTCTCAGACTAACAGCGAGAGACGATGCGAAACACTTGAACGAATACGGGGGAAAAGTTCGGTGAACGAGAAAGTATATATTATAGCGAGTGGGGCCGAAAAGTCCTTTTAGTGTATTTGCGCCATGTAATACAGAAGACGATGGTTTTGAGGAGAGCTTCGGGAGCTCTCGCCTTTAAGATCGTGCCGGAATAATCTTTAATATCTATCGTGAAAGATCGCGAGATACAACACGAAATGCGCCCGAAGGGAATATGTGTTCGCATTGGAAATGGTCTATCCGACGAGCGCGCATGAAGATGATCAACACTGAATATTTTACAACTGTGTAATGTTTTGTTATTTTGTAATAATCATAATTTTTAATAATATTAATTG